TCAAGGCTCCGCGACAGGATAAACATCACCAGATCTTTTAGATGGCTGTATTTGGCAACTACGCGAAACGATGCAAAAACGAACTGGGCAGATCATAAAGACAGACTGCGGGAAAAATGCGCGATGAATTCACATTCAGCGAACATGAAGCCGTACTTATGGAAATCCAACATATGGAAACAACAGCAGCCCAAAACAAAAAGCACTAAATGGGAGGATGGCTGCCTAGACGAGGAAAGCATAAAGGACTCTATACGCCATGCTCAGAGGGCATGGACCACGGACTCAGCAAAGGAAATGGCGCGGCAGCTCATGAAAAACATCTCGCATGCGTGCCACTTATCCATGCCTATGAGGAAGCCAAGCAGAGGAGAGGCATCCTCCCAATTTTGGAGATCAGAGATCTAAGGAAGGCTTGTTTATATGCGAGAAGGCGCTCTCAACGAGCCCGGGGCGCCCAGATTTTGCCTGTAGGTTGAAAGACCTGCGTGAAGCCCAACGAGCCCTTAAGCGAAGCATAAAAAAGAGCAAATCCATCTGCTTCCATCGAATTTGTGATGGGGCCGATGTTAACCCATGGAGTACGGCATACAAGGTCGTAACAAAAAAAGTCCAGAGCCAAGGAACAGGCCGCGTCAGCCCTACTGCACTCGCCTCAATAACCGAGGGACTGTTCCCAACAACCACAACTATGGACGGTAAATTGCTCTCGTAGAACGGAGCTAGTGCAGCAGGTGTCGGCAGATGAAGCTGCGGTGGCAAGTAAAACAAGTAAGAGGAGTCGGAGATGATTCCTTCTGCCTGTTACATATATTTGGATTTTGCACAAAGACAATATACCCCTATACCCATTTTTAATGGGTTCAGGGTATAAAAATAGCAGGGAGGGCACTGGCGCAGATGGTGTGCTAAACAAGGCGCTGAAACTAGTCATGTCAACGAAACCATAAGTCTTCGCTGAGACATATTCCAGATACCTACAGGATGGATTACTCCCTAAGAGATGGACGCGACAAGGGACAAGCCAGTTGAGGTACCTAGGGATATATTCCAATCTGCCTATTGGAGATGGCGGGAAATACCTTAGAGTATCGTATTTAACCGACTACTAAGTGCCATTGAGGAGAAAGAGGCATTTTCCAAATACATTTCACAAAGGTCTACCGTACGGTTGACGCAATTAAAGCGGTGGTGGATATTGCAGATGATGGAGTATTGGTTGCACGGTGGTTACTTTGCACATGCATTATGCCTTTTACTCAGCTAGCTGCTCACGCACCGTTCTCCCTTTTAATTGTCCGATCGAGTATTGAGAATCATAGGATGCGCAGGTGGTCTGAGTCTACTAGTGGTGGGCAAAGAGATACGAGAAGTAGAAGCGGCAGCGAATGCAGCTGTATCAAATGTGGCCAGCTGGATGCGTGGAGCTAGCCTGGAGCTGGCAGGCCATAAAGCGGATGCTGTGCTTATCACAAGCCGCAAAGTATTTGAGTTTGCTAGATTTTGTAGATTACGTTAGTCTGAAAGCATCCAAAAAGCAGGCGGCGATGGGGACCTAGGAAAAGTAGAGGTCGGCACCTCGCGAGAGTAGTAGCCTCCGTTCTACGGTATGCCGCACAGATACGGGCATCAGCGGTAGTAAGCCAGAAAGGCCTCCGAAGGCTCACCGCACTCTTCGGTGTCTCTGCATTCCGGACGAGTGTGGGACTAGGCAGCCACTGTACTGACGGGCACGCCGTCAGTGGATGTACTTACGAAGGACGTTATCCGAAGATCGGAAAGAGCAGCATCGATTGCGACTTGGTGGGAGAGATGGAATTCGGCGAACCAAGGGAAATGAACCCGCAAACTTATACCCAACCTGGAGCAATTTTTTACTGGATACGGCGGGTACTGGAAGAATCTTCACAGATTCAGACACGAGGACACTCCAGAGCGCCCAAACTGCTCAAATATGGACGAAGACCAAGAAAACGTGCTGTAGCAAAGTCCAAGGTACAGAGATGCAGTAGGATTTGTGCCCCCACCTGACTAGTGACGTTCATGTTGGAGGGAGGAAACAACTGGAGAGATCTGGGCCAGCTCATTATAGGCATCCAGAGGGATCTGAGACGATGCCAAAAAGAGCGGCGAAGAATGGAGACAGCCTAAAATAGACAACCCCTCCCCGCGAAGTAATACATTGGGCTGAGTATAGTACGTAGGTGTTAACGGAGTCAGCAAATCGTGCATACGGTTGGCCCGGACCATCAGTATCTTACGAAGACTTTCACCATGCATCCCATTGGTAAAATACGCAGCTTTTTTAGAAGACATCGCACAAGACATGCACGGAAAATATACATATATATACACGGAAAATGTACATATATGCAAATATAATGATTATTACATCGGCTATTTTAATGCGTGGGCTACAGAATGAGACAGTAGCTGAAAGTCACCAAGGGAAACTATGGTGTAGGATATGCTCGCTCCGCTTTATGTCTGTCTGCTGAATACCTCAGCAAAGCGGGTCGCAAGCCAGGCATTTCTCGGCAAAGCACATGGGTCAGATGTTTACACCCACAGTGACCACTTTGCGGTTATAGCAACGGAGTATTCCCTATGCGATTAAAGCGACAGGGATTAATCCTTCTACAGAAGAGGGATTAAGAAGAAGAGGATCGTGTATACCCGGTTGTTGATATTGCGTTAAGAGTGAAAACAGTTTATTAATACTATTTTACTCCTTAATCCAATTTCCAGTTCAATATTGATGAGCGATAGTAGCAATATGTTATCCACATTCCCTAGAGGTACGTTTTTGAACATTATACTATCCCAAAGGATGTGCTTCTTGTCATGAGTAATACTTATGAGGAGTCCGATTAATTTTTATTTTTATATTAAAGGCATGGGCGATAAGGACGGTGGGCTTTAGATTTCCATTGTGAATCAAAACAGCCAACGTTTTCGCGGCTTTAAGAGATAGAAGGAAACCACTTTAATACTCTAAAGAATATTTATTCTTGGCTAGCATCGATCCAGACACATCCGTCTGTCTGTGTTTGCATATGTATGAACGCGTCGATATCAGAAGAGATAGAGGCTAAAGCTACAGGCTGCACGTTGGTTCTCCTAGTGCATGAGCAGTACAAATTTGCTACCAATCATTAATAGCTTGCCCCATTATCGTAAGCACAATAGATTTAAAGAGTAAAAGATACCAAATTTGACATGTCATCTATTTAAGGTCAAGTCTGTTTACTCATCGGAAAGCTTTTTTCCGTCCCACCCACCACGCAAAATCTAACAAAATCCTTTGTATCCCTTAGTCACTATAATATTTAAGTTTGAGCACCAATATATATAATATATGATTATAATTCATTAAAGATTTTTGAATGCTTGTGTAGGGACTTATAAAAACATTTATGCACAAGCTCATGTCTTTATAACTGTCCATCCAAAGCAGCTGCAGCGTTGCTTCATATGCCTGTGCTGTACTATTGACTTTTTAATGTTAAATATCTAAGATGTTTCTTGTCCGCTCTTCATGAAATACCAAGAGCCTAAATATGGTTTTCAAATATTGTTATTTACCAAATCGCAAGACTCTAGGTTAAACTTTTTTCTTTATTTTGGTGAGAATGGGGAAAGTATCGAAAATTTTTTTTGTTTCCAGGACTGATTTTTATACGCTGAACCCATTTAAAATGGGTAAAAAGGGTATGCAGGGTGGCTCCAGGTGAGGTGTATAGCTGATAAACCAAAGGTAACGCGTAGCTTCCATCATTTTGAAGGGCACACGCAAATGTACATTGTATATGCATATGTCATTTTAATTGTTTTGTTGTAACACTTTGAGTTTGTATTCCCTGTACTTAAATTTGTTTAAGGGTTTTAGGAGGTCAACCCAATAAAAACATAACCATGACCATCAGACGCCAATAATTAAATCTTAATGAGATAAAAACGTATTAAAATAGCAGCACACAAAATGGTACAATCGTAATTACAATGCTGACAATAGAATTAAAAAAAAAATGCGCATGAATGTGTGTGTGTACATGTATATAGAAATTCCTGCAATTTGCGCTTGCTACGCCAATCAATAACATGTTTTATTTAATAACTTCTATGTTTCTCAACCGATCTTGATGAAATGCATCCTGCATCTTATTGTACCATAGAATATTCGTGTATTCTCAAAAAGTCAATTGCATTTAAATTGTGGCTTAAATTGGTTGGAATTATATGTTTGGTTATTAACTAGATTTATAGCCCTGCGGTAGTAGCGGGGAGGTGGCGAAAGGTTTAAAATGAAAGATACTTGCTATATGCATAATATTCTAGAAGCAAAACATCAGGTTTGGTGACAATTTGCTCAAAAAACAGGATGTCGATATCGATTTCTATCGATTACTTGAAAACGGAGTAAGTTATTGATTATTTGAATCAAACTCGATCTACGCAGGCACTAGGAGTACCTACAGCTAGATTTCAGGTCTCTAGCCATTATAGGTGCAGATATCCTTGCGCTCATACATACGGACAGACGGACGGACGGACAGACAGGCGGACATGGCTGATCAAGAATATATATACTTTATGGAGACGGAGATGCTTCCTTCTGCCTGTTACATGCATTTGCACAAATACTTTTTATACCTTTTTAATACCCTTTTTCAATGGGTTCAGAATATAAAAACGTTAGGTATTGCAATCTGTGTTAGTAAAAGAAGGTCTTTGATACTCCGTACTTGAGCACCCCTGACTATAACGCTCTCACTTGTGGGCTTAGATGGAAATCTGCCACAGTCCGTTCTTGTTACTTGTGATGAGCGAACCCCGGCCCAGACCTCTTCCCCCAAAACCAAACTCCCATGTTTGCGGGAATTTGTATTTGGTAATGCTTTATATTTTGTCGAATGCCAATACTCTTTCACTACTCCGCTACACTACTTCACTTTCTATTTGGAGATATTAACGGAAATATGAATATACGCTGTACTTACTTTGCTATTAGCGTCCTGAAGCTCCAATATAAACAGTTGTGATAAACCGCCATTGAAACCATCACTACAAGTTATCGTCAAAGATGTCATTGATATATTCAATAATGTACAGTTATGCACCTGGTCAGGTCGGCCTATAAGAAAAAATTATAAATGTTGCACTTGAGAAATAAGGATAGATTACGATAAATTTTCAATGATTAAATGGCAAGAAGTAAAAAGTATATTCGTCCCTTGAAGGAGATAAATTAAAAAGGATTTTCGTAAACTATTTAGTTCATTAAGTAACTTCTGTGTTTTAAGCCCTGAAACCATTAAAAATGACTAAAAGGCTTTAGGGAAAGTGTATAACTTGAAGAAGGAATGATTTCCGACCCCATAAGCTATATATATATTCATAATCAGTAATCAATAGCCAAGTCAATTTCGTCGTGTCAGTCCGTCTGTCAGTATGAATTTGTCAGTATATTGCCTTTTTTGGATACCACGTTACCTTCCACCAGAATTCACTAGAATTAAAAACAAAAGTATTATCACACATAATGTCTTAGACTTTGGTATTTAAACACAGTCGGATGCCATATTTATGCACTAAAAATGTTGTAAAGACCGGATAATAAACACCATAGTAAATCACAACAAAAAGTTTCATACAAACGTTTTTCGCGATTTTTCCATAGTTGCGGGTGGTATTTCCCGAAACACCGTCTTAACGTGCACTTTCTTCACATAAGGTAACTACAGTGAAAATTTCAGTTTCCTAGCTCTTACGGTTTGGGCTGTGCGTTGATCACCAATCAGTCAGTCAGTCAGTCAGTCAGTCATATCTCAATAGAGATATGTATATATTTATATATATATTTTCAGCGTTCCGTAGATAGCCGTTCTGACCTGATGAATTAGCTTTAATTAAATGACCATTTACGAACTTTATGATTCTCCTCATGTTTCGGACGACTACATTATATATGATCGATATCTTGGCTCGTTTCCATGAAATCGAAAAATCGCTATCGCAATATTGTTTTTCGAACATGTTTCTTAGCTATCTAGAGGCATTACATATTCTAGAATATTACACTTTATGAGTAGTTCTGCCTGTTCCACATATCAAATTGAATCTGAGACATTAAGTCTTGGGCTTTATTAACACTGCCATCTTGGTGTTCTACAAATTTGTACACACATTTGGAGGCATTAGGGAAAGAGCAGCGCATCGACAGCGTAAAATGCGCAGCAAGTGGCAAGTGTAGAAGAAAGCTTGAATGTTTGTGATGACAGATTAGCGCGGGGCTCAAAGAATCTCCTAGTTGGGCACTCCTGGCTATTGCACATTTAATTGTTCATTTATACTTTCAGAATAATTGAAATTACATTTTGATACATGAAAGTTTGAGAAGTGATGTTAACACGTGTGTATACATCTCCCACTGAATTGAAAATTTATAATGCACAATATCTGCCTGGAAACGGGATATACACCCCGTGTAGCTTATCAAATATCCTTCAGTTTAATTTCTTCCCCCTTTATTTTTACCTGTTAATATATATCAGCTATTATTTATATATTTATCTCTTTATATAGTTTTTAATAGAACAGTCAATACGATTTTTGCCCAAATTTCGCAAATTTGGCAAATTTCGCAAAAAAATCTTGAGTCAGTCGATTATCTCACACGTTTTTCCAATCTTCAGTGGGCAAGGTGCAAGTAGTCAAGATAAATCAATATCAAGCTTAGGAAAGTATCTGTAGCGGAACAAACTCTGGCAGATAGCACCTAACTATTTTAATATCCAAGCCGTTATTACTTCCGCTTCCTTATTGTACAAAAGGCGCCACTTCATTAGGATTGTATTCAATAGCCAGTTCTCACGTTTTTTAGCGAACTTTACACATCACATCACCCCACATTTATAACTACTCTTCTTACTAAATGACCATCTAGCCAATCATGTCGCAGCGGTGACAAATATCGCTTATGCAAGAAGGCCAACCACTCACTCCTTCACATTCGCGAGCGCTGCCGATCCGCATAATCTCCTCACCGGAATGCAACTCCACCTCCTCTTCTGTTCTTGACTATCGTGCTCCAGAACACTAGCAATACTGGGAAATTACGTTTTGAAGCACAGGCTCTCATTGATTTCTACACACCTTTCAACCCATATCAGCCATCAGTTTGGGTGGACATGGCCGTCAACTGTTCCAATTTTAACCCAGAGCTGAACCCAGAAAAGTTTCAAAGGTTGGAAAAAGGGATCAGCCTCCGAAACGGCTTCGAATCACTTGGAAGACCTTCACTTAGGGAAATAAAAGAAACAATTAATTACATTGGAGAGGCTTTCCAATCAACCAACAAAAAAAAGGCTGGTCCAGAGGATAGCACGTTTGTTTTTTTTCAAAAATTATTTGAAAGATAGCAAGATTAACATAAGCCTCATGTCGCTAGCAGTTGTATTCAGATATCGATTACAAATTAATTTTGCCACTTTATTGTCCGATTTTTGGTCAAAACATCCTCTATCATTCAATCTGTTGATACAAATGTGTGCTTGTGTGCTCACGTACTGTGCTACAGCACTATTTAAACCTGTTTTACAACTTTTTTAATTGTCTGTAAACTCTTCACCTTTTCCGACTATTTGGAAACAATCATTATCAGTCAATCTCTTGAACTGTATTTCAGAGTATTTGCGTAGCAAAACGCAAAAGGTTCTTTTCAGAAATTCGTTTTATAAACTTATTCTAGTGACTTCCGGTGTTCTTCAAGGTAGTCATTTTGGCCCGCTACTTTTAACTCGATTCATCCTTACCTCCTTTTCATGACCTTCCCTCGATACTACCTCACTCTCGAGTGTTAATGTATGTGCAAGATATGGCAACATTATACCCTTGCAGAGGGTATTATAATCTTATCGTGAAATGTGTAACGCATAGAAGGAGACATCTCCGACCCCATAAAATATATTTATTCTTGATCAGCATCAACAGCCGAGTCGATATAGCCATAGTCGCTGCCATAGGAACGATCGGTCGAAAATTAAGTTGTTGTATAAAAAAACATTTTTTTTATCAAGATATCTAGCCCAAACTCGGCATTAACTATTTTCCCTGTGCTTCTTAGATACGGGCAAATCACTATAAGCATTATGAAAAGGTTGGGTTTGCAAGGGTATTAGATCTTCGGCATGCCGAAGATAGCCTTTCTTTCTCGTTTTATCTTTTAAAAGGGTGTTTCTGTTACCTTCCTCAACTTCAATTATAATTCTCATTTTGAAATACCTTTACGCTGTCCACTTCTAGGATATTTGATATACTGACATTGGTGAGATGCTAATTTTTTATGTATTCAACATCAATATCTAAATGGTGGGGCTCATCGAGTTTATTTTCCTCAAAAGTCTTGCAAATATTACATTTTTAAATTTTTTTTTGCGCATAAACTGTTTCATTCAAGTATTCTGTGTCCATACTGACTTTTCACACATGAACTCGTTACACCAAGCCTAACTTAGACCCTCGGTAAAAATATATCAAACCATATTATGCATATTGAGATTGTAAATTGACCTACTCTAAAAAATTTCCATGTAGCAAGCGTAAGGAAAACCCCTAATTAACAATGGCTTATCACCGCTGCTGCTGATAATGCATCGGCAGCAGGCCTAAAATAAGATACTCTGTTAGTATATAAGACCTACGATTCTTAAGAATAATTCAGTATCTCACAAGTACTCGCATTGAGCATACAATCGTTCCGCTGTCCGCTTTTTGAATGGTATTTAAAGACTTTGTGATCTCGTTAAGCTGAACTTGTACATAGCGTTTTAACTTTTTCAATAGTCGTTTGTTTGTTATTATCCAAACCTCGTCTCCTACTTGGTGTTCTCTTTTGTTTCTGTTTGCGTTTGTTTATCCTTAGTTTCTTTGTAGAGCTTTCTGGATGCCTTCTCTACATGCATGATTTCGGTTTTTTTTTTTATAACTGAGTGTATTATTATTTGATAGTATTATTGAGAGAGGAATAAGGACTATCATTTATTGTATGTACGTATCGATTTTCATGACGCGTGCAATTTCTATGAGAGTGTTATGTAGTCTTTTGACTTCTCTATTTAAAGTGCTCTGAAGAGGATGTGAGTCAGATATTTGAATTCCAAAACTGGTTGTCATGGATCTTATAGTTTTAGAGTTGATTGAGCTGCCGTTGTCACAGAGAATATGTTTATCAATTGTAGTAATGGTGATTTGATCGAACCACGGCAAGCTTAGATAATTTATCGATGCACGTCAGGAAATATTTCTCATCCGCGAAAAAAACATATTTGTGGAGAATTTCGGGATAGGGATAGGAGTTTATCTTAAGCAGTGTTTTTTTGGGTTCGGTCTCTACGATCTCTATTATGTTCTGCTGTCATGATTTCCCTTCGCTCAGTTTTGTTGGTGATATCTGGGGCGAGATACTTGGCATGCCTAAATGTGGTAGTAATGATTCAACTAATTTGTATTTGATTAAAGCTAATTAAATTGATTAATTGAGCTCCTATCACAGAAAATGGCGTTAACAACGTCTGCTTCCATTATTTTTATTTTTATTGAAATAATTAACCTTTCAACAAAGTAGAGGAGGCTGGAAATCTCTTATTGCCGGAACTATTTCAAGCGGGGAGTTGATTTCGATTCTCTTTTTTAAAAAATATTTTCCTGGGACACTCATGCTTGCGTCGCAAAATGTCTTAAGGACTTTGTCGATGCCTCTTATGTGGTCTTTTTTATTGGCTGAAAATATTAGTTCGTCGTCTACGCAAACGTGGCCAGTTTTGCCCATTAGTTCCAGCAAGACATGATAAATTGCCCGATGGAATTGGGCGGGTTTTCAGTCCGAAAGGAAGCCTGCAAAATTCATACCTCCGATTGTTTACTGAAAAATCTGTCTTTTCTCGGTCCTTCTCCGCTAGCTCTTTCTGATGGAAACCTGACTTTAATTCTAAGGTCGTGAAATACTGGGATTTTCCTGTGTTGGACAATATTGTCGTAACAGAGGGTATCAGATATTTGTCATCAATGGTCTGCTGGTTTAATTTTCGGAAATCTATTACCAGTCTCTTCTTTCAGTGGCCTAACTCGTCAACA